CAAGTTGCAATGAACAAGTTGTATTGCTTACTGGAGAACTCCCAGAGTCCTCCAGGGCGCTGCTATTTATCTCTCTACTGACGGGAGGCATCACGGAGACACGGATTCATCCTGCCGGGAACCGGTTCCCTGAGCGTCGACCTGATACAGCAGGCTCGGATATCCTGTCGATACCCGGGATGGGTCTGTAATAGAGCATTCCGCTCACTTCGCTCCCCCGGCTCTCGCAAGGGAAAGTCCGGTGTGTATCCTTCTCAGGTTCTATCCCTCCTTATCCACATTACGGAAACGTTCCATCCAGTCCCGTCTTCCCTGTGCCCATTGGAACAACCCGACCCAGCGCCGTCACCTCCAAACACATTTGGTCCAGCGTCTCTAATGCCCTTAACAATGGCATCTTTCTGCAAAAGTGCGGCGTAGATGACGGTGATGGCTCTAAACCGTACTACAGTAGGTTTGTCATCTTGTAGAAGGGGTGCCCCTCCTCCATAGGCATAACTGGATTCATAGTGAGTAGTCAGTTGTTGAGATGTTAGTAGGGCAACCAATCTGATTTCGACACCTTCCCTTCGAGAATTTTTTCTTGGCACCCACTGTTTAGCCAATTAACAGTGGGGCCATCAAAAACGTCTCGTTAACCGGCCTAACACTGTTAAGAGTGCTAATTTGCGCTTTTCGACCACAATTCGCAGTCAACTGCACAACCTCACGCCGAGTGGTGATGGATGGTGACGGATGAGGTCATCTGTGGGAGGGTGCTGCGTGGTGGCGCCCACAGCCCACCTTGAGAGAGCAGAGCCTATATGTCGACGTCCTTCTACTCGGTCCACTTGTATAGAGACGCCGTTACTCTTTCGGCGCTGCCCTCCATTAAAACCTAATTCCTGACGTCGTATAATAGTCTGTAGTTCTCTCCGGTCAAGAACTTAGGGCGGATAGACTGTATAGGGCTCTATAGATTTAAGATATTCCAGGGGTCGCTTGTCTCCTCCCTATTGAGGAACTGCTCCTTGACTTCTCTAAGCTCGCGAGCTTCGAAGGATTGCTCTATAGATAAGCGAGAGGGGATTTACACCGAGACAGTCAAATATAACAGATAAAATCGCCGGAAGAACTGCTTAATCTACCGGCCTTTATTGCCCTACTGAAACGGCTGTTAGTCCTTTGTAATGATTGGGGCGTCGTTAGGAGACTGGGTCTTAACTATACGTGCTGCTTTATCGCCGGTGCAGAACAAGGCTTCGACTGCTCCACGGCTGCTCTCCCTATTCGGGTGCTGCACCTTGACTAGCAGTTTGCGAAGAAGATGGTTTGTCTCCTCGCCGTGCGAGCCTGGCAACGGCGTAGCCTGCTCCAATTCGGCCAATGCTTGTCGCCGGTAGGCGTCGTTGGGTGTATGATCCTGCGCAGGCCGATCTTCGGAAACTCCAGGCCATCCGGAGGATACCAGAGGCGTGTTAATCCGGGGGCGCTTTGCCTGGGTGATATCGGATAGCGAGGCTCGACGCCGACGGCTCGATGCGTCCGGGTGCTCGGTCATCATAGCACTCTCGGCTGAACCAACGGCCCGTACCTGCTCCGTCTGGTACCAAAGCTGAACGTAGCACTGGAGATGCTCACGACAGAGTAGTCTAACGTTGGATCGTGGCCGATGGCCTTGGGTTGACGTGGCGGGGCTGTTCCTCTTCCAAGACATTCGCAGGCCGGGGCTGTTCTGGCTCCGGGCCCTCACCTGTCCCGGACCCGGCTCGGAGGTGGAGCCCGAGGTGCCCGACCTCCGAGCGCGCACATCGGGGGGGGAAGGACATCAGGATATAAGGAGCCCTGGGCAAGGCACAACCCCAAGTAGTTCTCTTTCTGTAAGCTTTCTCAATAACATAATAAACGCCTATACGCTGGCCAAAAAAGAAAGGGGCAGACTAAATATATTCACTGTGTTCAAGCTGCCACTCGGATCATACTGTACGTGCCTTATTCCCTTCTTATACGACATTCTGTAGGCCCCTTTCTATACAACCTAGGTCCTGATCTCTATTGTTATATTCCCAGCGCTACTAGTAGCGAATAGGGGGCATCGAGCTGCCTTATATACGTGATAGTCACGTCCTTGTACTATCTTGCTACGACTAAAGCGAAGACAAGAAATCACCTGCCGACGCCGTGGCACCATAGAGCGTCACTGGTAAGCCACGTACGGAGCCGGTAAGGCCACGTCATGTCGAGTCCGCCTCGTCGCCCCGGTTGGGCAAACGTTCCGACCTTCCCTTGAGACCTCTTCCCGGTTGGATTGCCCCTGACCGAGGCTGTATCGTCATCGTCAGCTCAGCCCCCGTGAGCCGCCCGTAGAACAGGAAAGGCCACGTTATGTCGAGTCCGCCTTGTCACCTCCCCAGTTGAGCCCGCTGCAATCCTCCCTTGAGGAACCTACAAAACACCGGCAGGTGTCGAACCGGCCGAGCCCAGGCTGCTTGATGCCGCCGTAGCGATTGAATCTCGTCGCCCTGGTCAGTGGGATTACAACAGTCTGCATGCCTTCTAGAATGTATCCCCTTCTCGCGGAATTTCGCAATCATTTGGTGCTTGAGGTAGTCGATCACCGGACACGGTATAATTCACCGGCGGCGGTGATGGTTTGTCGAGGCTACGCCCATAGAAAACCGCGATCGGTCGGATGTCGTTTCGGCCTCGCCCATGGCAACGCCCGCGGCGCGCTACGTCATCTCGTGTCCGACCGCTCTACGAGAAGCCTTGGAGGTGACGTTTGGGGAGGAAGCCGGTCAAACACATCGAGATTCGCTGGATGGTACTTTCGTCCCTGAGCGAGCTGGCAGAAAAATGCTCCTATTTCCAATGTTATAGCTTATATCCTTGTTTCTTCTCGTAGCCACTGTCTTTACGCCGTCTCTCTCGCGCTTCCTACACTCACGCTTAACCTTACTGCTAAGTCCTCCCGCAGCTGCCTGGGCGGCAACATCACCAGTCAAAACCTCGTGCGGGGGCGGTGTTGGTACCTTCGGGGGTCGGCGGCAGGTGGGGGGTGTTTTGACTCGAGCATGCCGTAACCAATAAACCGCTGTCCCACCGCGTCGAGCGACTGCAAACACGGCCGAGTAAGCCACAGGAGAGCTCTGCGAGACAGGAAACAAGGAATGCACGAGGCTCTGATCGAAGACGCGGACGCGAAGGGGGTTGTGTTACCCCCCTTATTCATGTTTTAGGCACCGGCTCCCCTGCCCAACTGAAGGGTCAAACGGCCACACCCAACCACCTCCTGGCGATGTTCAGCCTTGGAGCTGCACAATTATGCGCCGTTTCATCTGGATCGCACTCTGGCCTATGGGCCATGTCCCCTACCACATGAAAAGGACACAGGAGGTGGCGTAAGGTCAGAGAGTGGTTGCGGGGGAATGCCGGGTGTACACTGGTCGGGTAGCCAGCTGTACAGATTCCCTGTCTAGGAGGCGGTCGTCTTCTCGATTTTCCCGGGCCATCTCGAGCTTCGCGAATGCTGATTGTTCCGACCGATAAGTGAACTCTGCAGGTCAAAGATCTAATTTTGAGGGAATCAACGGATGCTTGCTCCGCAATGCTATCTTTCCGCCAGCACATCTAAGTCCATACGTGCTTCCCGGAGGATATTCCTCATCTGGGAATACAATCCTCTATCCTCCTTCTGCCACCTTCCTCCGCTCAGAAACACAAGGTACTCATATCTGGTAATAGGATGTGAAATTCTCCTCCACAGTTCTGATGAAATCCCCTTTATGGGATACCTGGCCTTTTTCCAGCTCTACCAGCTCGTCTGTACTGACATAATTCCACCTTTCAAAACGTGAGACAACCCTGCTCTCCTCATGTCCGTCGTAGTGGATGCATATCCAGAACAGTACCTAAAAGAATGACTCGAGATCGTGTATGAAGGAGTGGTGCTCGCCTAGAAAAGCACCAATAGCCATGAACGCCCTTTTGCTCTTCCCTCCCGTCTTATTAGTATCCCTGCAACAAGAGCTAACAATAAGCCTCCCTCTCAGCCTCGGGTCGTCCGCTATGTCGATACTTTTCAAGAAACGCGTCTCAGCACTGTTCTCATCATGGAGTATTTCGGTGCTGACACGCTCTGGCACCAACACCAGGAGTGTGAGCTTCGGAGGGATGAAGTACTTGTGCTTCAGCAGTCCCTTAACGCCCTCGTCTACTTGCACGAGGCGGACGTGACCCACCAGGACCTCAAGGTCAGTAGCGTGATTACACCAGCCAAGACCTTACGGCAGACAAGCTCCCGCTTCGGCCGTCCTGACCATGTTGTTGTCAGCCTCTAAACATCCTCCTCCGCTCTCGCAACCCCATCGACGTGGCGTTAGCCGACTTTGGCTGGGCCAGGGAATCGGCAGAATCCATGTCCACGGTCTACGCCGGCACCGTTCACTACCGCGCTCCCGAGGTGCTCGCTCACGCCCGATATCGCAGCCTGGTCGACATCTGGTCGCTTGGTGTAGTCGGCCTTGAGCACCTCCAAGAGCTCCCGAACGAGGAACACTCGTCAACGGAAGCGGACTACGCGCTCAGCATCTCGGTCTATGCCGAGTTCCTGGCCATTTACGACCCCTCGCACACCCACCGGCGCCTACTGAGCCAGATGCTGCGTGAGAAGCCCGCCGAACGGCTGACAGCCGTAGAATGCCTGAAGGCCGTATCCGACTTGATTGCCTAAGGCACGCCGCCTACTACGCCGTCACCACTTAGCCCTGTGACACGCGGGGGCCACGAGCACTCCCACAGTGGCTTCGACAGCCAGGCCACAGTCCTCGCCCCGCGTAGCCCCCACCACAGACAGACGTCTGTCCGCCGCTGGAGCGATAAAATCAGCCATCACGGCGACGACCAAGAGGATGACGACTTTAGGTATAACGGCGACGACAGCTGTAATAGACGCTCGGATGTCCCTCCACCGGAAACGCCCCGGCGCGCGAGCAGCGTTCCGCGGCCGGCAGCAGCAGAAGACGAAAACCACAGCCTCGGAGCTGGGCCCCCAGCTCCGTCCGCTTCAGCAGTGCCATCGGTCTCAGCGCCGCGGAAACGCGACCCCGATAGCTCAGGCTCAGGGTCAGCCTCGACCGGCTCAGACCGGCACGTCCCCAAGCGGCAAGCCACCGCCCACAGGCTGTCTGTGGTCGAGGAAGCGCTGCCAAGCGACAGCGAGGTCGCGAGGACGTTGCTTGGGGGATGGACGGTTCGCTCAGCTTGTCTGCCCCACCCGCTTGCGGTATAGAGCGTTGCTTGAAGTGCCTCGCGGATTTCTTTTACAAGGTCAAGTTAGGGCGCGGATTTCGGGCGGAAACCTTTTAAACGTAGCCGTTCATTTGGAAGGAACGCGTCGGCCGAGTCTTTCGAAATTCCAGCAGCAGTTCGCGAGTCGCGACTGGGTCCACTCCAGATCCTTCCACACCACGCGCCTCACTCCCTCCAAAAAGGTTCATCTCACAGGTCCATCCTCCTCGTGTAGCCGTTACAACAACGCTGCATCGTCGGCACACGTTTCTCGTCCTGTTCCAGTCCGCCTGGCCCCGTCGGTGCTGGTCATCTATACGGTAAGGCAACTCCTGTAGCAATTATCACATTTCGTCACCTGTACGAAAATCTTACCAATGCTTTGAATCTCCAGAGAAATTCGAAGTACCCCTCCCAGAATTCGATTCGAAACCACAGGCGCGCCTCTCGCCTCGGTTGCCTGATTGTGCCGGGTAAGAAAAGGTCCAGGGATGTTTCTGCTTTTGCTTCTCCTCGCTCTAATTTGACACCATGGGCCTAACTTGTTGCAGAGAACTTGAGAAGGACCGCCAACTAAGGGCCGTCTAGCAAACCGTCGTAGGCGATATGCACGCTGGGTATGTGTCTCTTCCGATCTACCGATACCGCTTGTATGGGCCTCTGGCGCTGATTATAAACTTGTATTCAGATCTACCGGCCCTTCCCCGCGCAGCGACGGGCTCTCTAAGCCGAGCGCCCTGGGGGCTGGTCCCTATGCCAGTCCGGATATTTCTGGGTCTACCTCCGCGTACCTCGTAGTCCAGAATTGGAGCCTACGATCCTTCCCTCCTTCCCTCGACACCATCTCAATCGATGTATCTATGTTCGACCCTCGCCGAGACCTTCCACGGGACGTCCTATGCGCGACTGTACGCAGCGGCAACATCGCCCGCCCGCTCGACGATCCTGTACGCTATCCCCTCAACGGGGTGGTGGAACACTTTGACCTCTCTGGCCTACGGATCTGGTATATCTCGCCGGCAGACGAACATGGGTGTGTCTCGTTCGCTCTCATCCCCGACGAGCGCGAATGGCGGTTATTCCTCACCCAGCTCAAAATTTCGGGCGTTCCTCTCGACCCTAGCCGCTACCACAACCCGAGATGGCTCGTCGGTATCCGCATCTGGGCGTTGCCCCACGGCCATACCCCTCAAGACTTCCTCGCCCCGGATCATACGGTGCCACCTGGTACGATGGTTATAGATCTCCTTACGGACGATGAGCTTGACTCTTCTACGCCTGATCAACCTCCTAGGGATATCCTTTCAGACGGTCAGTCCGACCCAGCTGAGTCCGACTCCATTGTACCCGACCCTATGGAGCTCGACCCCGTTGACCCGGAGCCCGTTGAGTCTGATCCTGTTGCGCCTGAAGAGGAGGCGTTCGAGCCAGGGCCCATCGACCCTGACGTTGTCAAGGCAGTCCTCCGCGATATGTGTCAATTTTTTGGCATCGATCCTGGCGACGCGCAAAAGCCCGGTTTCACATATACCCCTCCAGGCATGAAGAGAGGTCTTCGCCTCCACCAGCTCTGGGGCTTTTTTTGGGTTTTTGCTAGCAAGCCGGCCCGCGGTATCGCCACCGCCCTCCTCGCCGACGAGATGGGGCTTGGCAAGACGGTTACGTCCCTGACCGTCGCCGTCCTTAGCCACCGCCTACGTGTACTGGCCGACTACGTCACTCAGCACCCCGAGCAGCACCTCGCGCCCGGCGACGAACGTACCGAATGCCCGTCAGGAACCTATACCTACGGGTTCCAATGCCCCTGCGAGGCGGGCAGTTGGTCTGCTAGGATTGCCGCCGACCTCTCACATGGACCTACCGTCGTGTTTGGTTCTAAGCTGATCCTGAGATCGTGGGCCCACGAATTCGCCAAGTTCGTGGACGCTGGTCCCGACGACGGCATGGTCCTCCTTACATTGCCTGACGACCCCGCGCCCGTACGCGATCTTATCGCTGACGTCCGAATTGTCAAGTCAACCCGTGTACACCCCACGACCGGCAAGAAGCCTGGCCTCCAAGACGAAGGCGCGAGGCTCAAGCCAAAACCCGGCCAGTCTCAGTACATTCTACTCATGCCCAACACGTCCGCTCTCAAGGGCATTGATTCAACCTTCGCCGTTACCGCTGACCGCCGTAGGCCCCCTACTGTGGTCCAGTTCGCCGTCCAGCCGGCCAGGATCATCGTGGACGAGGCCCACTGCATCAAGGGCGAGACTACCATGCTCTGGGATCGGATTCGGCGTTGGCAGTGGCGCGCGCAGAGCCCTACGTACCTCCTCGCTCTGACTGGAACGCCTATGACGCGAGACCCGACAGACTTCCAGAGGCTGTTGGAGCACCTAAACCACCCAGGCGCCGGTTGGAGCACCCCCCTCCAGCCGCCCGCCACGTCTACGCTCCAGGCGCTCAAGCACCTAACGGCGCGTTACAACCAGACGCTCGCCCGTGGCCTCAACGCTGCTGCGATTAGCGGCTCGGAATCGGAACAACAGCAGCAGCGGGCCTTCCTCTCCGACCTTAGCGCCCTTGTGCTCGCTTTTACCCTTCGTCGCCGCCGGGACGGCACCTTTGCCGGCCAGCCGTTGTCCGCCGTACCGATGATCCCTTTCGACGTTGTAGAATGCCCGCCCCCGGCCCAGTTTGCCGCCCACATCGAGAACATCTTCTCCACGACAAAGGACGAGGTACAGACACTGCTGAACGAGCGCCACGCCAGGTGGGAGGAGCTGCCTAAACATCGCCGGGGTGCCGAGCCTACCCTCGAGCTCTTAGTTCGCCAGATCAGCTCCGGCGCCCCCTCTACCGTCTATAGCTTCCGCCTGCTTAGGCTGTGCGCCACGTTCCCTGCCCTAGCTCGCCTCTACCGCGAAGAGCCCTACTGCGGTTGGAGCCTCACCGGCGAGGATTTCCAAGCCGTCTTTACCAAGGGTACCGTCGAGGAGGCTCAGGCCAAGTCCAAGGCATGGCCGCTCTGGCGTAGCATCTGTACCGGCAGTACTAAGATGGAGCAGCTTGGTGTACAAGTCCGCAAAATGCTGGCCGACCGAGAACCGGCATCCGGCGTGGAGGGCATAGTGCCTGAGAAGAAGATGCTTGTCTACTCCGACTCCCCCTTTGTGGCCCACCTCGCGTTCTTGTGGATCGCTAATACTTTCGGCATCCCTGTCCAGATAATCGATCGTAATATGAGCATGGCCAGTCGCCTGGCAGCTATTGAACCCTTTGTCACTACCCCTATCGACAGGCTACAGTACGAGCACGACCATCCTACCATCCCAGCCGCCCCTCGGGTTCTAGTCACTACCGTTGGCATTATCGCTGAGGGCCTCAACCTAGCCCGGGCGAATTACCTTGTTCTGCTCGGCCCCCTCGGCACCATCGCTAAGCAACAGCAGGTCGGCTGTCGCGTTAATCGCGAGGGCGGGTTTTCCACCCCACACCTGACGCTACTACTCGACCCGGACAACAAGGCTGAGATGGTGATTCGTCGGCGGCAGCTAAACCGCGCCGCTATCGAGACAGAGGTATGGGGTGGAACGGGGTAACCATAGTAGGCTGGCTTGTTTGGTGTTTTCTTTTCTTTGACGTCTCCTATTCTTGATACATGGTGTACAATGGTGTTAGGTACTACGGTATGACTGGCTATAGGTAGTTGGCCTTCTTGTGCTTCTCGGTTTCCACCAAAGGAAATTTGGGTGTGTCTCTTGGTATTGTGGAGGTAGGGGTTTTCTCTGTAGCTCGTAATAATCTCGCTTGTTAGGATAGAGAAGCAATCTCAATCTACGTTGCTGCCAAGTATCTTCACCTTTGTCATCCTCCACGCACGCTTTTAGTGTACTACCCCGGTATCAGTCAGCATACGGACCAGCGTCGGCGGTGTTAAAAAGGAAAGAATCTATCTAAAAACTGGTCGATCATCCCCTTAGATGGAAATTATACCTGAACTCACAAAGAGGCTCGGAGTATTTGATTCCTGGGTACTTCGTTTTGTGCATCATGTCAAGTTCAATATTAATCACCGACGTATAGGAGGTTGGATTATTCCTCGATCAGAACCAGCAAGGTAGAGTAATTAAGCGGTGTTAAGCACCAGAAGAATTGCCCAAGCGATTGCGGTACGCTGGGTGTCCGACCTGCAAAAATCTAGCAAGAGAATCCCAGACAATAGTCAATAGGATGAGGGGAAACTCGGCCCTGAAAATCGTTGACCCATGGAAATCCCAACCACGGCTCCAAGGAGGGATTTTCTGCAAGAAACCCGAGTCCGTTGACAACGTCATATTCCATGATTTTTGAGTACAAAGTCTGCATAACCCGGTTAAGATCGTGGATCTCCGGGTAGGAACTAAATGCCTCGTTTGTTTCTGCCCCGTTTGTTTGTGGATAACATGCGATCCCCAACTCCTGACACTTTTTACATGGGACTCCAGGACAGAGCAGATGTTTATCTCTGCAGCGTTTGCAGCGTACAGCTAGCCGTCTCCGGACAACGTGAGCTTCCGACATTAGGAGGAAATACAAGGTCGAAATTCGCGATAAATATCAGAAAGGGAATGCATCAGGAACGTACGAGGGCGAGGGAATTGTACGAGGGCGGGGGGAATAAATGCGCGAGGGCGAATGGAAGGCCCGTGCTAATGCAACTGTTCAGCCGCTTACAACCTCGCTGCTCGAAGGCACGATTGAAACTTCATGCCAAGATCGCGGAGGACTTCCAGAACGAGTCAAAGCAACCTATTCGACCAGCGTCCACGCTGATGGGAATCAGATGATTGTCCGCCCCTGGTCGTGGTGGGGCTTGATCCCGGCTTGTCATATACCCTGGCCAGAAGCCAAAGCTCCCGTTTGCTCTGCCGAATTAGTCCAGCGACACATTTGAGTGCGAGAGGAGTTGACTCCTGATTAGATCAATTTCTTTCCGTTGAAACAGGGCCATCGGTCTGACCCACCGATCGAGCTGCACGGTTCCTCAATGGCCACAACCCGCCCTGCTCCTGCATTTCGCTTCTTGTTGGCGGCGAAGGAAGCCGTAATTGGACATCATTAGTGAGGTTCGACTCAACTTCGCACGCAGGGCAGAAACCAAGAAAAGAAGTATTCGATACAGAAGCCAAGGTAAGTACAATGGGTTTGCTGCATATTTCGCGGTGTACAAATACCAATACCTCCGGACCATTAAGCGCGCTTTCAGCGCTAGTTATAACTAACTATATTCCTATAAGTAATCTGTCTCATGACACTCCCTCCCGACAAATCACCGCCATTATCTGTTGCAAATACGAGAACGCTCGAACGTTTCGCAGCAATCTAATCCATTATTGAAAGCAGGATATACATGTCGCTAGTCTATATATTTTGACACCCCACGTAACCATGGCTAACTCCTCATTTGCACGCCAGTTTGCTGTTCGTATGCACAAAAATCCTTTTCGCTCTATACCCCAGTTTCCCATAAGCACAAAATGATGCTTCACCGATGCATTGCCATAGTATGTATAGGCTATTTTTGACATTATTTGCCAGGCAAGTTCACTCTCAGCCCGGACATACTCCCTGGTTAATACGAGACAGGGAGAGGAAACAGCGGAATCGTGGAGATAATGAGCACCGTCAATCGCATTCGACCAAAAGAAAGTCAAATCGGCGGCCGGCATACCGTGCGTAGCATACATAGTACTGAAAGCGGAAGGGGTCATTTTACATCGTCACAAGCAGGCCTGTGGGTTGGATTTTCAGCAGCAGCATAGGGTAAGTGTGACGAGAATGCAGGAATGGGCACTCGCATTGTAGAACAGCGAACATTCATGTGGGTTCACCCGAACCCATCCCTACTCGCAGATTTTGGCCAGTCTAGCATACTCCAGCTACTCTCTCGCCGGCTGGGGAGCCACTATGCGAACATCGAGTCCAGCCGGGCACCGGAGTTAGGAAGCGGGACGATCTGCTCGCCAAAGTTCGCCGGCCGCACCCAGGCTGCCTACAAGCCCCCTGTACCTTTTGCCAGGCTTCTTTTTGAGCTTGCATCATACTCCAGCTATACCTGGGTATGCCATTGAAGATGAAGCACAGCCAGACTTGTAAACAGCGTGTACAAAAAAACTTCACAAGAAATGAGATGCACCTACGGATTCCTGACTTGTAAACGGTCACCATGTTGTAATACAGCTGCCGTGCCATGATACCGCCGTAGAGATCAGGCCTGAGGGCGAGCACTATGCTTCTCCTGCTCTTGTATCTCCCTACTTTCAGCATCTTTAGTTGCCGCCGCCAGGAGGTGCTCTTTCTCCTGCTCACGATTCTGTTCCTGTTCACACAAAAGAGGAACCAGCTCTTCTCGAACAGGCACCTCCTTAAGTTCTGTGCCCATACAAGGTTGAAAGTCCGCAATAGACAGATCACGTAGAGAGGTAGGGAAAGGAGCCTAAGATGTCAGTACCTATGTCCTTCGAACGAATGCTCCTTTGAGAATTACCAGATGGACTAGGGCTAAGGTTTTCATCCTCTCTTCATGAAGCAAGCCATAAAGCGAAGCGCACCCGGTCACCAGTGAACCAAAATGAGCCTACACTGAGTCGCATAGGGATTCGTACGCCTTCCTCTTCTCTATCTCCTCGGCGAGAAGAGCTTGAAGTAACGCAATAGTATTCGCCATTGGTGCTGCTCGAATATAGTGTATGTTGGGTTAAAGTGTCCGGTACAGTGAATCGTCTAGTTATTTGAGGTAATGAGTTACGTAGGGAGGGGTTTGTCGAGCTGAAATGCAGAAGGCAACGGCTCGACTTCCAGGGGAAAAAAAAAGAAAGCAAAAGACGTTCTATCAGGTACATCAGAGCTGGGCGCCAGTCTCTCCGGCGCACTCCAATGCCCGTGACCCTCTCTGCGTTAAAATCGGCTCGAGCTTACATCCTACAGTTTAACAGGCCGCCTTACAGTCACTAGCGACATTGGCTTCCGCTTTGCTTTCACACATCTTTCTGGCGCACAGACTGTTTATGCATCTAACCAACCACACCGTGTGCCCTCGCACGCACTGGTGTACTATACATACCAGGCAGGATACAGTCGCTGGCGAAACCGGCTTCCGCCTTGGACATATTTCTGGTTTCTAAACGCACGGACATCTGTGCCATTTTCGGCTCTTGCAGAGTGCCAAATGGACTCCGAAGTTATCGAGCTTACTGAATATATAGTTATGGAAGTCGTGCATTTTGCTTAGTTTCATAAGTGCATACGCCTTGACTGAAAGACTTCCTCCGCCGGAAACGGCTCAGTAGGATACCTTGGTGACGCTAAAATTGCATCCGTAACATACTTGATGTATTGCCTTTACGGCTCTTCTATGTGGATGCCGGCATGCCGAAAGTGACCTTCTGCACTTGACTTCCGTCCGCCTACCACGTCGACGCACCATTATAGAAATGCGCCGAAATCCTGGCCGCGAAGGCCTGCATGGAGCTGCCAGTTTCGCTAAATGAATCTCTTCAGATCGGCAAAGAATTCCTTAACGGGATTGAAGTCTGGCGAGTAAGGCGGCAAGTACAAAAGCTTCACTCCGGCGTCAGTTGATCCCTGGAATACGCGCGCAAACACTACACCATCTTGTGCATACGCCCACAGGTGATGCGGATCCGTGGCCAGATAATGCCGACGGAAATGATCGTGGCTCTCCTGCGCCTGGTGGGAGATGTGTTTACGGGTTACAGTGAGCTAGTCGGGGAAACAACGGGCCGAACGACCCCTCCATCCATGCCGCTGCATCGGCGGGGGATTGGCTGCGAGTCCAGCTGAGGGATCCAATCCAGCCACAATTACACATAGCCGCCGCCCAACGGTCGTGTCGCCGCTGCCCTCCTCTCCCTGGTCATGATCTCCTCAACTCTCTCGCGGTTCCTGCTCGCGCGGATTCCGGGTAGTACGCAGGCAGCGTATGCGCTATGGCGACCACTAACATGCCGCTGAGGATCCTCTCGCTCGGTAAGCTGTACGCTCCCAGCCTCGCCAGCCGCACTGACACCATTCAGATGGAGGTGGCATACGCGGCCTATCGAGCCTGCTCATCTTAGAGGACATCATGGAGAAGATCCGCGATGCGGAGGGACTAGATCGTGTCCCGCGACCCTGCGAATGCTTTGACTTCATCGGCGGCACCAGCACGGGAGGGTAAGAATGACGTCTGTTCGGCTGGGACGCGCACTCACATGCCTTGCAGAATCATCGCGATCATGCTCGGACGGTTGCGCATGAGTGTCGACGAGTGTATCCGAGCGTATAAAAAGGTCGCGCAGCAGGCCTTCACGCCTAAGAGAACGACAATCTTCCCCGCATCGCCTTCCGGCGCCTTCTCCGCGAAAGCCCTCGAGGAGGCGATCAAACAGACGGTCAGAGACTTTTGTAGTCAACCAGAGTGCATTGCCCGACGCATGCACGGCACTACAACGGCCGAGACGTGCCCACATGGGGAGATGGCATTCCGCGATGGGTCGTGCACCAAGACGTGCGTCTGGATGAAGCAGCAATGATGCTAGACCACTCGACTAATATCTTTTCAGTGTCGTCCTGGCGATCACGAAGGACAACGTCGACGCGCGACCGACCCTGTTCACGACATACGACACGTCTGCCGCTCTGCATGGCTGCACGATCTGGGAGGTAGCGCGGGCGACGTCGGCGGCGACAACCTTCTTCAAGCCCATTAGGGTCGGTCGAGACGGCGTTAAGTTTATTGACGCTGGGTTCGGATACAACAATCCATGCGAAGTTTTGATCGAAGAGGCCCAGCGGCAGTTCCCGGAAGGTCGAGCAATACGGGTCCTCAGCATCGGAACCGGGCTTGGAGACGTCGTTGAGATCGGCAACACGCGGCTGTCGATCATCACTGCACTGAAGAAGATGGCCACATCTTCGAAGAAAGTGGCAGCGAGCCTCGCTGACCGATATGGCGAAAGTGGCCAGTACTACCGATTCAACGTCGACCAGGGCCTACAGGATATCGCACTCTCTGACTGGGACAAGGCCAGCACGATCTCGGCACATACGCGCAACTACCTGAGCGACAAGCAAAGGGCGATCAAGACCTTCGCCGCTAAATTCACTAAAGCAGGCTTTGAAGGGGACAATGGAGAAACCGCGCAGACAGTGGCGCCGGCCGCTGAGCTCAGCGGCGCGCGGAACAGTTAGTGGATGAGAGACGGACTATATGCTGTGACGGCTACTAACACGGATGTAGGTGGTGTCGCTGAGCCGTGGTATCACGTTCCGTTTCCAAGAAATAAACGCTTTGTCGGGCGAGACGACACACTCCTCACGCTCAGGGACATACTATTCGTCCAGGAGAGCCAGAGGGTCGCACTCGTCGGACTCGGCGGTGTAGGCAAGACGCAAGTGGCTCTGCAGCTCGCATTCTGGACGAAGGAGAACAAAGCCGAGTGGTCCGTCTTTTGGGTGCCGGCGCTGAGCGAGGCCACATTTGAGCAGGCCTATACGGACATCGCAAGGGAGCTGAAGATTCTCCGCAGTGATGACGAAGACATAAAGGAGTCTGTGCGGCAGTACCTAAGCTCAGAGGCGGCTGGGCGATGGCTTCTCGTCGTAGATAATGCGGACGACGTCAAAGTCGTCTGTGGGAGTCAAGATGCGTCAGGTGGCCTCGACAGATATCTCCCACAGAGTGAGAACGGAAGGACGGTATTGACAACGCGCTCCCGAGATGTAGCCATGAGGGTTACCGAGAAGACGGTTAAGCTGGATGAGTTCAGTTTGTCTGAGGCAAAGACCCTCTTGGAGAAGTTGGTAACACGGGAAGTCTTGACTAACGACACCGCCTCGGTAACTGAACTGCTACGCGAGCTGACGTACCTCCCCCTGGCGATCACGCAGGCAGCGGCTTATCTGGAGCGGAACGAGGTATCGATCGCCGAGTATCTGAGGCTGTTGCGCAATACGGAGAAGGATATGGCCGATCTGCTCAGCGAGGAGCTTCCAGACAGGACCCGGTATAAGGAGGCGAAGCACGCGGTGGCGACGACGTGGATGGTAAGCTTCGACCAGATCCGCGAACAGGATCCTAACGCAGCCGACCTTCTCTCGTTTATGTCGCAGATTGAGCCGAAATCGATCCCACAATCGCTCCTGCCTGAGCTGGACTCGAATGTGCAGACGGTGAGCGCGATCGGCACGCTGTGCGGATATGCCTTTGTGTCGAAGCGGGACGAGATGCTAGACATGCATAGCCTGGTACATTTGGCCACGCGAATATGGCTGAGCAGGGAAGGCCTTGAGCCGCAGGCGGCGGAGACTGCAGTGCGGCATTTGGCAGGGAGTTTTCCGACTGGCGACTACGAAAATCGGCACATTTGGAGGACGTATCTGCCGCATGTACTGCGTATACTGCAACGGGCCGGCGCGGGTGACATAGAGGAGAAATACAAATTGTCCTTCGGGGTTGGACGGTGCTTGAAGGTCGAGGGGCGGATTAAGGAGGCTGTACGTTGTTTCGAAGAGTGCTGGCGGTGGCATAGTGAGCAATCCATGGAGGAACACCCTTCACGACTGGCGTCGCAGCACGCGCTCGCAGGGGCATACCAGGCCGACGGACAGATCAAGAAGGCGGTAGCGCTGCTAGAGCAGGTGGTGGGAGTTCAAGAGAGGACGCTCGCGGAGGAACACCCTTTACAACTGGCATCACAGCACGAGCTCGCAGGGGCATACCAGGCCGACGGACAGATCAAAAAGGCGGTAACGATGCTAGAGCAGGTGATGGCAGTTGAAGCGAGGACGCTCGCAGAGGAACACCCTTCACGACTGGCGTCACAGCACGCGCTCGCCGGGGCATACAAATCCGACGGACAGATCAAGAAGGCGGTAACGATACTAGAGCAGGTGGTAGGAGTTCA